AATAAGTTTTAGGGGCATTTTCGTCATTTTGACTCATGGATCCAACTAGAAAATTCTAGGGACATGAGGGTGGCTTTATTTTTTTGACCCACTCTTTTCTTCTTTCAATTTTCGGACCACACACACACCACAAGCTCTTTCTTCCTCTATTTTCTTCTTCTCTCTATATTACTCTCTCCCTTCTCTTTAAAATTTCTTCATACTAAAGAGGATTTAGTTTAAGCCGGAGTTAGCAAAGTGTAGATCGTTGCAAGGGTTACGTTTTGGTACTGGTATTGCAAACTTTTGGTGGAATTTGAGTTTGGAGTTTGGAGCTTGGGTTGCTATCTTGAGATAGGGGAAGTTTAAATTATGAGTCATATGGTTTTAGTGAGCTTCTATGCATGTTCTTAAATGAAATCTTGTTGTTGTGTAGCTTGCTTAGTTTTGTAGAGTGTTGGGATGTGGTGTTCAAGCATGATATATGGTTGATTATGTAGTTTGAAATGTAGTTAATGTGTTTTTATGCTAATTGTGCATAATATGCTATTTTCCATGTTGAAATGTGAAAGTATAGCTTATATGTTTGTCTTATGTTTTGTATATCATGAGTGATGATATTGATTTAAATTCATGAATGATATTTTGATGATTAATGGAATAAGTTCATATATTTTTTCCTGGGGATTGTGAAATTGAACTCATGATGAGTGAATGAGGGATAAGAAATGAATTGATGTGGTGGTGTAAGTTGGGTTGAGAAGTGAGATGATGGTTGTGAAAGGTTTGATGAGATTTGAGTTGGAAAGAAAGACGTGGGCAATTGCATCTCATGTGTTGAAACGATTTATGAATTCATTGAAATTAATGTTTGATATTATGTTGACATTTTCATGATCCCTTCTTCTTATTCTCCTCTTCTTTGGTTGTGGTTCTCGGGATTTTTAGGAATATAATTTAAGCTTTCTCTACTGAGCTGTTGAGCTCACCCTATCATTATTAACATTTTTCAGGAAGTTAGAGACAAACCGGTAAATGATGTGCATCCATGGACATTGATGTAGTTAGGAATTCACTTCCATTTTGTTTATATTAAAGCCATGTAAATTTTGGCCATGGAGGTCTCATTCTTGTATTTAATTCTTTGAAAATTGTATAAACTGAGACTTATGTAATTCGGTCTTTAAATGATGTATTGGGCTTGTGTTTGGTTTATTCGAATGAATGAGAGTTTAATTATGTTTTTATACTATCAAATGAAAGATTTGGGGTAGGTTTGAGCTTTGAATAAGGTTACATAAGGACCAAAGTAGTGCAAATATGTAAAAATTCAAGATTTTAAGCTTCTGGGGTATTTTCAGGGTTCTAGGTGTTTTGAACCGGTTCAGCCCCAATTGAACCGGTTCAAGGGGTGGAAATGGTTCTCGAGTGGGCATACTGCCCATCTTGAACCGGTTCAGGAATCTTGAACCGGTTCAAGTCTTCCAGTGCGTATTTTTCCCTTATCAGCTTGTCAGTTTTGAGCACACAACTTTGAATAGTCATAACTTCTTCATTCCGAAACCAAATAGGGTCATTCTCAAGCCCATTTTCAAGGATTTTAAGTTATCTTTCCAATAAGATTAATCCCATCTCCAAATTCCACTCATGTTGAGAGTTATGGTTGTTTTAGTGGAACAGTGTCAGAATTTACCTTGAACCGGCAAGGGCATTTTTGGGAATTCGTATCTGCTAACCATAGAACCTCACCAAGCATCCTGGAATAACTAGAATAGTTGTTTTAAACCTCATTTTACTAGTTTAATGAGGGATTATCCTTTCATATTGTAAAATTATTCCCGAGTACTTAAAATAACACAAAGTGACAAAAACCCGAACTCGAAAAGGAAAAATTAACGGAAAAAAAAAAATCCGTAAAATTTGAGAAAATGGAAAGAAAATGAAATGACTGGATCATTACAAGAACACAGTGATATTGGAAAATTTTCGAACACGAAAATATACCATAAGACCCACCCAGCATTTCCCGGGCGCAAAAATCGAAAAATGTTAAAATGACCAACAATGCATTTTTTGGAGTTCCGAATTTGAAGTAATGCCCCAAACAACTCTCGGGATTCACCCGGCACCCCACGGTGCCCTACACATAAACGAGGTATGAAAAATAAATATAAAAAAAATATTCAAAAAAAATTCAAAAAATTTTGGGACATTACAGACCCGCTGCCGATCAAGGTGGCACTACCCCTAGGAGGAGACTACGATCGGTGAGTTCGGGCTATTGCAGCCGTTCCTCCTCACAAGGGGCACTAAATGAGGGTCCTGAGGGGTTTGTTGTTCCCATATCTGCTTAGAGTCTGAAATTCTTCAAGCCAGATGATCAGAGTGGTAATGTTATGATGACTGCCCTAGATTCCATGTTCAGGAACGTACCCATTGCCCCATCATACTACAAGAATCTATGGTCCCCTATAGATAAACATATTCAAGACAAGACGGATAGGAGGGAGATGTTCACTCGATTTCCAATAATGCCATGGAGGTAAATTTTCACTTCCACTTTGCTTTGATTGTCATTTTTAATCACTTTTATTCATGGATTTCATGATTATATGTTGTCTACGTATACGATATTTGGGATGGCGACCATGTAGAAGGCCATCGAATCTGGGGACTATAAGATTATATCCTTAGAAGACACACCCAAGATGTTCTCCACTGACCTGGGAAAGACGAAGTCTCAACTTGACAAATCTCAGAATGAGAGAGATTAGCTGGAAATGCCCTAGGGGTTAAAAGGGCAGCACGACTTGAAGTGGAGAAGCAGCTGCAGGAGGCCAGGGCCGAACTGGTTCAGCTAGTTGACCTTCTTGGCTGGGTCCCCGAGGGGGTTAAGGCAGTGGTGACCCACTTTTCGTGGATGACTGCTTTGAGGTATACGAAAGGCTATAAAGAGCGGTTCTTTGACTACCCTTTACCTGAGAGGCCTCAAAGGGCCTTTGTCAATCTAGACGCCTGTGGCTAGGAGCTGTCCGTTGATCCTCCCAGGACCTATGTTGATCCAGATAAAGACCCATAAGAGAGGGTCTTTGAAGATTGCGTTGCGACTCTAGCTGAATTCCTTCCACCTCTTCCTGTGCTTCCAACGATTCCTACTATAGAGGTTTCCAGCCTCCCCTCTCAGGATGAACAAGGAACAGCCAGTGTGGGTATCACAGACCTGACCGTGCCCCCACATTTTACTGCAACCAAGGGGAATCCCATTAGCCTTTATTCTCCTTCCTCCAACACAGAAAGCCAAGATTAAGCCATTTTGAAGATTTTATTTTATCTTTATTTTGCTTTTATTTTTATTTTTATTTATGCTTCATTTGTATACGGAAGCTTCATGATGTAAAACTTCCATCATTTATAAAAAGAGATTTTTGTCTTTGTTGTTTGTCTAAATTCTCCATGTTTCTTTATATTTATATTAAATGAATATTTTAACAAGTTGTAGATGATCGGTTGGACTTACCACCTGCCTCTTTTACCTTCGCTCTTTGTAAATTTTCCTAAATGCTAGGCGATTAACCAATAATGTCTTTTGCCTCTTGATCAATTTTATGAATGTTTGGCGATCGGTTCATATTGTTATTTATCATCGATTTGGTAAATTTTTAAAAGTGTTTGGCAATTGGCTCATTGTGTCATTTGCCATTTATTTGGTCAAACGTTTGGCTGTAACAACCCGTCAAGTGTTGAAATTCAATTTATTTCATGACATTTAAATTGTCATAGTTGATAATTTAATTTTTTATTTGAAGACTTACCCAATTTACATATTTATTGGGTTTAGATTATTGTCACAAGGTATGCACTTGTATATATATATTTTTGATATATATATTAAGTTTGATTGAACATTTATTTTAAATTGGAGATTTACCAATTAGAAATTGGGTCATTGATTATTGAATTGGAAACTAGAGTTTAAATTTAATTTTAATTTCATTTCATTGATTTTAGTTATCATGGGGGATGGCAGCCGAAAATTGGTAGAAGAAAGAAGATTGAATATTTTATTTTGATTGAATTTACCCACTTTAGATTTTTAGTGGGAATAGACTTGGTTTACAGCTTTTGTATATATATATATATATATATATATATTGTAGCATCAGTTTGTGATGAAGGAGCAAGTTGGTTCCAAAAGTGGGTTTTGATTATATATCTATTTTGGTGATGAAGGAAGCTTAATTGATGGGCTGGCCGAGATTTAGAAAGAAAAAGGGAAAATGGAATTGGTTGTCCGCAGGCCCCACTTGTTATTTAAAAGAGTTGAGAATGGTTTGATTTGGTTATGATATATATATATATATATATATATATATACATACTTTTTATGTGCTGTGAGGTGGAATGCACTTGGACGAGATTTGAAGAGAGAGGCTTTGATATTGTGAAAATTGTGAAGATATTTCTGCAGGACCCACTGGAGACTTGTTTGCCAATTTTCCTTGGCTTAGAAATGTTCACGTGGTCTGTTATAGTTGTTGGTTAAATGGTTTTTGGAAGGTGATAAGATGAAAAGGTGAAAATGGTGACAGCAAGTACAACCGTGGGAAATAAAAAAAAAAAAAAAAAAAAAAAAAAAAAAAAAAAGAGGAAAGAAAAATTGAAATTGTGAAGATGATTTTGCGGGTCCCATCAAAAACTTTTTGGCGTCAAATTCTTTGGCTTGAATTTTCTTCACGTGGGCTTAATTGTAACTAACCTTTTGCACTACTTTTGACTAACATAGAAATTGTGTCTACACATTATATTCTTATTAGAGTTTTATTGTCAGTGGAGTAAGAAGGAATAAAAGCGAGCAGCCAACATGATATAGAAGAAAGAGAAAGTGGCGGGTCCACTATTGACATTTTGATAATTGTTTTGATATTTTGAGTTGATATTTGTGGGCTGAGCTTTGTAGTGTCGATGGAAGATGTCTATTTATTGAAGGTGGTGTGCAATAAGTGGAAAAATACCAAGAGAGAGAAAATTAGAGGAAGCACAACACACAGCCGAGACACACACATACAGAGCCGAGAGGGCTGAGAATTTAATTCAAGCTTGATGCTTCATTGATGATTTAATTTACAGTGTAGGGATCATCATACCTTGAATGGCTTGGATGATTTGTTTCAAATATTTTATGATTGCTCTTTTGTTTAAATTGCATATACCTATTTTTGTTTAAATGTATATGTATATTTTTTTGTGAAATTAATTTTGCATGAAACTTCTTGAAATCCTTGTTATGGTTTTTCCTACTGTCTCACCCCCCTACAGTTTCAGGTACCAAGGATGAACTTGGATTGCTAGTAGCGGGCTTAGGTGGAAGAGTTGGAGTTGAGGAATTAAATTATTTTATTTAGAAATTTTTATGTATTTATTTGAGGAAATTGATTTAGTATCAATTTAATTAATTTGAGATGTTGTCTTATTTATTTGAGGAAATTTGATTGATTTTGCATCAATAAAGGGTATTTTATTTCTTTTGAGATCCTGGGTGTCTTTTATGAAGTATTTTGATTTAATGAAATCGATGATTTTATTTAGAAAAAATTCGGGGCGTGACATTGGCGGTTGACTAGTGATGCCACTTGCCATTAGTTTGAAAAATTTTACAAGTGTTTGGCAATCGGCTCATAGTGCCACTTACCATTGACTTGATCAAATACTTGGCGGTCGACTAATGACGTCATTTGCCACTGATTTGATAAATTTTCACAAGTGTTTGTCTATCAGCTCATAGTGCCACTTGCCATTAATTTGATTCAATACTTGGCGGTCGGCTAATTGATGCCATTGGCCACTAGTTTTATAAACTTTTACAAGTTTTTGGTGATCGACTCATTGTGTCACTCGCCACTAACTTAGTCAAACACTTGGCGATCAGCTAGTGATGCCATTGGCCACTAGTTTGATAAATTTTTACAAGTGTTTGGCGATAGGCTCATAGTGCCACTTGCCACCGACTTGATCAAATACTTGGCGGTCGGCTAATGACGCTATTTGCCATTGATTTGATAAATTTTCACCAGTGTTTAGCGATCGGCTCATAATGCCACTTGCCATTGACTTGATCAAATTTTTGGCAGTCAACTAATGACGCTAATTGCTACTGATTTGATAAATTTTCACAAGTGTTTGGCAATCAGCTTTTAGTGCCACTTGCCACTGACTTGATCAAATACTTGGTGATCGGCTAATTGATGCCACTGGCCACTCCAATCTGATATGTTCAAATTTTTTAAAAGACTTCTTTCTTTCAACATTTTTCTTTCTCTTTACAGATTTCTCGCTGCTCAATAATCTTACATTCATGCAAATATACCCTTGAAGGAAAAAGATTAGCCAACGAAAACTTAATTGATAAAGTCATTTTACTGGGATACTGACCTATGAAGAGCCCGAACCTTTCCACCTGATCCCCTCGATCGGTGCTTGACCTGATTGAGCGTTGATCTGATAAAACTCGCTGGGAAGATTCTGTATGTCTGGGCATCATCCTCAGTGTCCAACGTTATTTTCGGCTGAGGTTTGGTATAAGTGTTTGGTTAGACCCTTAGTTCCGTCGAACAGGGTGAACGTCAGCATTTAGAATTTTCTGGGCTTTGGGGATAACAGTATCTCTTCCGTGAAGGGAGAATCAATCGTTCTGGCGGACGACCGGGCGGTTTCGTTGTTCATCGAGGGTGCCCTCTGTTCAGGTTACTACTTGCCAGTGGCTTTTGGTTATGAGTGTTCACCTCTGATTGACTTAAATCGTTAAACACATTGTCTGCAGTCGATTCCTTCTACCGTGAAGGAATAGCCTTAACGTTTTTTATCTCCTCTCCCAGTTCGAGCCTGTTGAGTTGCGGGTCCATATGGATAGATCTTGCCTTTTCTGCCATCTGGTTGAAGTTTGCTGGCTCCACTCTCAGATCTGTTATGGATATGCGAGTCCTTTTATTCCATCCAGGATCCGAGCTCGGCGTTCTCCCATTGCAAAATTTTAGTGACCTGCATTAGTTTATCATGTGTTACCTGTTGGCCCTCTTTTTATTGGCGGGAGCCTTTTTCTCCGATCATGGTTTCCAATCGGAGTTGTGTTATTCGTTACTAGAATCGATTGATCTTTCTTTAGTTTGTGGAATCGATGGATCTTTCTTTAGTTCCCACAAACGACGCCAGATGACGATGCAAGAAATAGTTCTTTATATTAGGAAAGAATTTTCTTACATTCCAAAACAGCCCTCCTTCATTCTCTCTCTAACTTCTATTTATAGAAGTTTACAATTGCCCTTAAGTTCCTTTTTGGCTCTCAGGCTTGGGCCTTTTCTGAATTGGGTCTCCTTTTCGGGCCATGATGGGTGTAAGGCCCACATGGAATGCATGTGGAGTCAGGCCTGGCGTCGGCCTTACTGTGACTGAGGTTGAGTGGGCCGAGCCAATAGAGGACTGGTCTTACCCAAGGCATTTGGTTGGGCTTGCGGATCCCTCTGTTAGATTGTCCCTAAACTGAGAATACTCATTGGTTTTATTGGTCCAGTCCAAGGTCAGTCTAGCCCCTTTTCATCTGAGTTACTTAATTTAGAAGGTGGGATAGGCCACATTCAGCCCGGTGGATTTTCTGCCCCTTCAGAAGCATATTTGGTAACGTCTATTTGTTGCAAAAATTTTGGAAACAAAAATATGAAAACATGTTTGGTAAAAAACATATTGCAATTTTTAAAATTATAATGATTAGTTTAAAATTTTCATTTAAGAGTTTTTTTAATATATATATATATATATATATATATATATATATATATATATATATATATATATATATATATATATACTGTTCATTGTTATAGTACTAAATGTTAGAGTGCGAAAACATATAAAAATACCAAAAAACATATAAAAATACTAAATTTATGTTTCGATTTTTTGGCACTATTTAGGAAATGTTTCGGAACTGTGTAAGAAAAATAGTTTCTACCAAACACGTTTTTTTTTTTTCACTCTTTATAGCTACAATACCTGACAAAAACAAAAATAAGAACAAAACCCAAACCAAACAAAACAACCTCAAAATCGAGTTAAGCTCTAACCGAGATAAGGAGGTGTTTGTAGTCAAGATAGAGAAAAGAGTCGAAAAAATATAATTTGATATACTTACCAAAAAATATATATACAATTTGATTTTAAATGTTTACATTTTAATTCCCATCGAGTTCTATGATTTTTATTTTATTATTTGTTTTTTTTGTCATATCCAGTTCCATGATAAATTAATGTCAATATTAAGGTTGCATATAGTTCAGATGGAGTCGATTTAAAAGTATTTTGAAATCAAACTAGTTCTAACTCTTCTATAAAAATTTGAAATGACCGTGAAACTAATGAAATTGAATCGTGAAAAAACGATTCGGTTATACTATTATGGTTAGTGGCGGATCCAAAGGGGGGCTTGAGCCCCCCCCCCCCCCCCCCCCCCCTCCCTCCCTCCCTCCCTCCCTCCCTCCCAAAAAAAATAAAATAAAATAAAATAAAAAAATAGTATAGGTATATTTAGCCCAATGTTTTAAAAAAGAAAAAATTAGTAGTAATATTAGCCCCCAATTTTAATCCATCCAAACAAGCTCAATATCTAAGCCACAATTTTAAAACAAAGGCCCAACCAAATAGGCCCAAGCCAAACAAGTCCTAAACAATCACTAAGCCAAAGCAAAGAGAACTCCTAAATTCTTAATCTTGCACAAATCAGAGAGCTCACTCCTTCTCTCCCTCTAAAGTCTAACCCTATTTCCTTTAAAATTTTCTAACTCTTTAATCTTTCGATTCCTAATTCCCCCTTATTTAATATTAACCCCCCCCCCCCCAAATAACAATTCCTGGATTTGCCCTTGATTATGGTCTTTTTACAATTAATTCTAATAACTAGCTCAGCCCAATAAGCCCAATCAATCAGAATTTCTTTTCGGACAAATATACAATTTCATTAATATTGAAAATTAAACATTCACATCAACACGATCTATAGAAGCTTTCTCCAATAAATGTAGAAGAAGCTCATCGCCAAATATTTTTGTAATGCAATGCAATACTATCAGATAGTACATAAAAGGCTTAAAACAAACTATTAATTTTTAAGTTTATTATATATATATATATATTTCGGTTTGATTCTGTTACATCCAAAATTAAAACCCAACCATTTATAGAAGTTTTGTATTTTAGTTTGTTTGTTCCACTTATATTTTGTTTTTCATCCCTAGTCAATTTATGTGTGTAAATTGATGTATCAAAGTCTATAATTAACAATGTTTTCCTTCTCATATTTCTCTTACCAACCTACCCGTTAAATCATTAATAAAGTCAAAGCATGAAGAAAATCAATTTAAATTTTGGCCTAGTAAGTCCGTTTCTTTTTTCTATTTTATTTATACGAAAAAGTATAGGTTTAGCATGTAACACATCTCCAATGGACCATTAGAGTAATAAAGAGAAAAAGAAATTGACAAGGCATTGCGCGACTTGTACTTTATTGCTAATTGTAACTTAAATTTAAAGGCTTTTACAAATGTAGGGCTGCAATTCGGACAGGTTAGGCGGGCTTGGCACTCAACTCGGGCTAGGTCCATATACAAAATCTTCAGCCCAAGCCCAGCCCATACATAATTTGTCAAGCCCGAACCCACACTAAGCCCACCTCAGAAAAATTTGTGTGTATAAAATGAATCAATTAATGCTGCACCCATGACTTGAACCTGAAACCTTAAGCATAAATCCCAAGGACACTACCAACTTGGCTACTACACTCTTGTAACTTAAGTATAATTATAAATATATATAATATTTTCGAGCTCAAGTTGGGTTTCGGGCTTCATCAATATCAACCCAAACCCAGCCCGAATTGAATTCGGGTTCAAAATATATAACCCAGACCCAAACCGAAATTAGAAAAATATTATCCAAGCTCACAAAAGTTCGAGTTGGACTCGAGTTATTTCGAGTTGGGCAACCCAAGTTGCAGCCCTATACAAATGGACTACTCATGGTTGACTAAAGGGATACAATCAACTTTAGTGAAGAGGTGAAAAAAAATAAAAATAAAAATATATAATTTATATATATATATATATACTGATTTAAGAGAATTTTAAAATAGAACAAAATACAGAAAATCCCCCTTGACTTATAAAGTTTTTCAGTAAACCGTCATATAATTTTTTACCAATGAACCCTCTAGACTTGTTACCCTTTTCAATAAATCCCCCTCATCTAATTTTTACCAAAGAATCCTCCTCAACTATCTAAAGGGATAAAAAAGTTGATATTTGGACCAAAATGCCCTTGTATTTAAATCTTAATTTTTCTGAATTTCAAAAATTCATATATTACAAAACGTATATCGAAATATTGCAAATAATATATGCACGGAAAGCTTATAAAACAAGGGTTCCATAAATATAAGATTTGTTTAACAAAACTTCATAACCAGAGAGAAATAGACATTATAAAAATCTACTGTAACAATCTTATTTTATTTTATTTTTTATAAAATACTCGGGTTATTTGCAAGAAAATTTTCAGAATTATTCATTTTCATATGGAGTATAAAATATAAAAAAATTAACCTCCATAGAGAACGAATATTCATTCTCTATGTAAAACTATAAAATAATGAAAATATTTTGACGTAAAATATCTCATGAAATCGATTTCTATTGGGGCTAAATTTTTTATATATTCGGCTCCATATGTAAATGAATAATTATAAAAAAAATTTTGCGAATATGTCGAGTATTTTATTTTTAAAAAATAAAATAAGATTGTTGGAGTAGATTTTTAAATTGCCTATTTCTCTCTGGTTATGAAGATTTGTTGTACAAATCTTATATTTCTTAATCCTTATTTCATAAATTTTTCGTGCATATATTATTTACAATTTTTAAATGTATGGTTTGTGAGATAGAATTTTTGAAGTTCCGGAGAATTAAGATTTAAATAAAAAGGCATTTTGATCCAAATATTAACTATTTTATCTCTTTAGATAGTTAAGGGGGGTTTTTTAATAAAAAATTAGATAGAGGGATTTATTGAAAAAATGTTACAAGTTGAAGAAAATTATTTGATAAAAAAATAGACAAGAGTTTACTGAAAAATGTTACCTTATTAGAATGATATCTAACTCGTTTCAATAGGTGTGGAGTGGGATAGAGATCCCAAGGCCGCCAAACATGCAAAATTGACATTCCTATTGTATATTGATTAGGTTGATTTTACGAAAGAAAATCCTACTCAAAAATCATATACAAGTTAATTAAGTACAAAGCTATTTTTAAGTTTATAATTGATACAGTTTTGTTTAAATTAATTCACCTATAAAGCCCATTAGACAATGACGTTTAATGCATGATGATTTCAACACGTCTTGATTCTTCCATTTTAGTGAGAAATTATCACAAAATCAGGACAATTATTGGGTATTTTATTTATATTTCTGAATGCCTGAATGTGGTTATCGATTGTAATTACTAAAATACCCTTAAGACTTTTGAAAACCCATGAAAGAGGGGGTGGAGAGAAAAGTCGAACCCAAGTTGGACCATATGTCTGTTCCTAAGATTGAAATTACACAGACATCATTGGGCTAATTGGTATTGTACAAAGAAGCATCGATGTAGGCCCCTACCATACATAAATAGTCCACTGGCGTTCGTTCGGTGGGCTACACGTACCCATCTAAAAGTTTAATGAAGTAAAACCCTAGAGGTGGGCTGTGGTCTGTCCGTCTCTCCAAATATATCTACCCTATATATACATAATAAAGTGGACCTCAAAGTCCAATCCAATTCGCTTTATTTTTTATCTTCCCCAATCTTATCTCTTCCAGAGTCCCAAGAACCAACCCCAAAAAAGTCCAATTAGGTTTCTCGGGTTGAAGCCCAATTCTCTCTCTCTCTCTCTCTCCGTCTCCTCGCTCCCCCTCTCTCCTCCTCCCTGCGAAACCCTAGATCGCACACAGTTGCAGAGATCTGAAGGTCGTCGTAAACACACACAGATCGTGTTCGCCTCTGTGTCTCTCGCACAATCACCGGTGGTTCGCGTAAGAACCCTAACCCTAAACTTAACCCTAGTTTTCTATATTTGGCTAAAACTTGAGTCGTTCTTTGTTATTGTTTTTTTGTCCTGAAATTTTGTGTTCGTTTCGGTTTTATCGTGTTTTATACGAACCTGTGCAGTTTTATTTGATTATTTTTGCTGGGGAAGTGTTGTGTATTAACTCTTCCGCTTTTCGATTTTGTATTGAATTTTGGTGTTTGTTGATCATAGCCGTTTGGGGTTTTTGGTTTTATGTAAATTTGTTTTTAGATTTCCTTGAAGCCCAAATCGATCAATTCTTAGATCTATTTTGTGTTCTGTAATTGTTTTTAGCCCACTGAAGGGTCAAATGTCCATTTTAACCCTGACCCATGTGTCCGTTTATATGGGCTATGAAAGTGGGTCATTCACACAATTGACGGTAAGTAGCTTATGACTTGTGATCCATGGTGCACCTCATTAAGTGGTTGTCAGGTGATTCCGTCTAGTTGGATCAACCCTTCCGAAGATGAAGAAGTTGGGCCCAGCCTAACGCTGGGCCCAAGTCAGTTGCCTTGTCTTCTTGTTTTTATACTCTGGTGTTATCTGCTGAAGGTTTGTAGCCTGAGTGATCTCGATGGACCGGCTTACTCAACTCTTAGCTATTTGGCTCTGTGACACCTAATTTGCAACTAGTTAATTTTGTAAATTATTAATAAAGGCATTGTAGTTTAGTGGTATCTTCTTTCTCTCTCAAAGTGAAAGGTGAGAAGTCAGGGCCAAATGAGTGCTTGAATGTTCAAAATAATACTAGTACAATTTTAATTTAAATTAAGGACACAACATGAAGTGCTGGACATGTGTAAAGAAGTGTCCGTGAAGTGTTGATAGTATATTTGTCAGATCTCTGACACTAACACAAGACCTTCGTAGAATTGTTTATGCTTCTTAGGTACATCATAATTTTATTATTGTGATTACCACTACCTAGTGCCTATAGTTGAGAAAATGTGGTGAAAAACCTACATGTGTGGCATTTCTCGAGGCAGTCCTTTTATGCATTGGAGGGTCATGCGTGGAGTTGTAATTTGTGATAAATGGCTTATAGTAATTTATGTATGTATCCAGTCCTTTTAATGCAGGTCTATAAAGTAGTGAGTTTCCCATATGATTGATTTCCTGGTTTCTTAATTTGTATTTGTTAAAACTTTCACCTAATGTGCTGATTGGCCGACTGTATATCATTAAGTCTTTATTATAACATCACTACCTTTGTCGTTATTAGCATGCCAAGGTTTGAAATTCTGCGACAATTTTTGGAAAAGGAAGGTACATGATAATTCATCTTTTAACTTTTTATCAGTGTCTAGAATGATACGCATGATCAAGCTCGAATAAATTATTTGTTTAGTGAAGGTTTGTAAGTTTATTTTTGTTTGCACTTTTCAGCATTTTCAAGGACCTGAGTATTATAGTTAGCACTGACATTTCGTTCGTTTACCAACCATGCATGCCTCTATTTGTTGCATCTCTTAATACCTTGTATATTCGTTTAGGATTTATCTTTTTATTATTGAGATATAGATTCTGCATATGAATAACTAGCAAGATATTGTATTATTGGATGGGGTGAATGATATAGTTTATTATGCTTGATCCTGTTGCATGCTTATCTTATGGCTAGAATAGCACTTAACAGCTCTTTGAAACTTTCCCTGATTATTTCCTGCTGAGACAAGCAAATATATATATATATATATATATATATATATATATTCATTTATTAAAATCTTTTTGTATGCTATGTGCAATGGAGTCGTAATATTCACAGCACTACTTAGTCCCTGTTCAGATGGTTTTGTGTGATCCACTTGTGTGTGTGTGTGTGTGTGTTCTCTCTCTCTCTCTCTCTCTCTCTATATATATATATATACCCGTGATTTTCTATTATCTTTGGAGTAGGATACAATACTGTTTTTACTAATGATGAGAGAAGGTTTATCTTCTTGTCTAGTTTTGTTCTGTTGATTTCTTGCAAATCTATTTCTAATTTATTTTTATTTTTTTCTGATTTCATATTGAATATTGGCCCTTCAACTTTAGTTCCTGTCACTCTCAATCTGTTTGGGACCTCCTCCTTTTATCATTTAACGGGATTAGGTTCTCATTCAATCTTGTTTTTTATTGCAGGAATTTTATAATTTCATAAATTCCCACAATTGGCCTTGTTGCATAAAGGGAATTCATTTCTCGAAACATGATGGAAATTCATTCTGAGAACAATGAGCTGGTCCTCGCAGAAGCACAGCCCGACATCCCCACTGAGAATAATGAACTGGTCATCCCAGAGACGCAGCCCAATAAGCGTAGGAAAAAGAAGTCGATAGTTTGGGAACACTTCACTATTGAAACTGTAGGTGCTGGCTGTAGAAGAGCATGCTGTAAGAAGTGTAAGCAATCATTTGCTTACAGTACAGGTTCAAAAGTAGCAGGTACGAGTCATCTCAAACGCCACATTGCCAAAGGCACCTGCTTTCTCCTGCGTAACCAGGAGAAGAATCAATTAAGCCCATACAGTGCACCTTCAAAGATGGGTGGAATTATGGGTACTGATACTCCAAAACGGCGCTACAGAATGTCTGGTTCCCCTTACTTTGCATTTGATTCGGACCGTTGCCGCCACGAGATTTCTAGGATGATCATCATGCATGACTACCCCCTTCACATGGTTGAGCATCCTGGCTTTGTTGCTTTTGTGCAGAATCTTCAACCCCGATTTGATATGGTGAGCTTCAACACCGTTCAAGGTGATTGTGTGGCAACTTACCTTCGGGAAAAGCAAAGCCTTCAGAAAGTGATCGAGGCGATGCCAGGGCGAATCTCCCTTACACTGGAGTTGTGGACTTCAAGTCGAACTGTAGGCTATGTGTTTCTGACCGGTCACTTTATTGATAGTGATTGGAAGTTGCATAGGAAAATTCTCAATGTCGTAATGGAACCATATCCTGATTCAGATGCAGCTTTCAGTCATGCTGTTGCTGCTTGCCTCTCTGATTGGAGTATGGAGGGCAGGTTATTTTCCCTCACTATAAATCAAACACTGAGTGAAACTGCTATTGATAATCTTAGAGCTCTGCTCTCTGTCAAAAACCCACTCATGCTCAATGGTCAATTGTTGGTTGGGAATTGTCTTGCTCGTACTTTAAGCAGCATTGCCCTGGATGCATTAGGTGCAGCACATGGAACTGTCAAAAAAATCAGGGATAGCGTTAAGTATGTGAAAACTTCTGAGTCCCATGAAGAAAAATTTCTCGAGCTCAAGCATCAACTTCAAGTGCCTAGCACAAAGAGCCTAGCTCTGGATGACAAAAGCCAATGGAACACAACATACGAAATGTTGTTGGCTGCTTCTGAGTTGAAGGAAGTTTTTTCTTGCTTGGATACTTCTGATCCCGATTACAAAGAAGCTCCGTCCATGGAAGATTGGAAGCAAGTTGAGATTCTCTGCACATTCTTGAAGCTCCTTCTTGACACTGCTAACCTCCTAACCAGCACAACTAGTCCAACTACTAACACGTTCTTCCATGAAGCATGGAAGATTCAACTGGAACTGGCTCGTGCTGTCACAAGTGAAGATCCCTTTATCAGCAACTTTACTAAACCAATGCAAGAAAAATTTGACAAATACTGGAAGGACTGTTGCCTGGTTTTAGCAATTGCTGTTGTTATGGATCCCAGGTTCAAGATGAAGCTTGTAGAATTTAGTTTCTCGAAAATATATGGTGATGATGCTGCTACATACATTAAGATGGTTGACGAGGGAATACATGAGCTCTTCCTTGAATATGTGGCACTTCCTCTGCCGCTAACCCCAACTTATGTGGAAGAAGCAAATGGTGGAACTGTCAAGTCAGGGGATCCAGGTATCGGTGCTGATGGTCTTGGGCTCACCGACTTTGACGTCTACATCATGGAGACTACTAGCCAGCAATCCAGGTCAGAGTTGGATCAGTATTTGGAGGAATCCTTGTTGCCTCGGGTCCATGAGTTTGATGTCATAGGCTGGTGGAAACTGAACAAGCTCAAGTACCCGACGCTCTCAAAGATGGCTCGTGATATTTTGTCAGTTCCAGTATCTACTGTTGCCCCTGACTCGGTGTTCGATACCACTAACAAAGAGATGGACCGCTACCGGTGCTCTTTACGACCAGAGACTCTGGAGGCCCTTATATGTGCTAAAGATTGGCTTCATTGCGGTCCAGTAGAAATGTCAAATGCTCTTGTGAAAATGGAATTTCCTATCTAGGTTCAGTGTTCTTCATTTTCTTGTCATTTGTCTATTATTATGGTAGTTGTCTGTGATGGTAGTAGGTTGTCTTTTACTCCTAAAACTGTAACTCAATTCTCCTTATTGCATTCTGCCATTAGATGTTCTGTAGGCAGGCATTGTACCATTCTACGGATTTATTTTGATGCATGGACGTTAGAATTTACTTTCGTTGTTACTTGTCTTTTTGGTGTAAATGCTTCCTTAGGTGCTAAAGGAGTTCCACAGGTGAAAGGAACACGGAAGGGACCCGCGGATTGATTACGGTTTGATACTTGCTTCTATTTCTGACTAGATGTTTAAATTTAAAGGTGCATATTATGAATTGGCTTTGAATGGGGTTGTTTTTTCCTATTTTAATTTTAGAGGGTGTATGGTAATGTTATCCAGGCGTTGGAGGATACTGGGAGCTGGATTTCAGTTGTAGATTTGGTGTTAGGGTGATAAATTTTGATCTCTGCTCACCCAGTGGTCACTTGCAGGGAGAGATCTAATCTGTTTGGAACCGCGTCTATATATATATATATATATATATATTATATTAAAAGAAAAGAGTTTAGGTATTTCTGGAATTTGTGGTATAGAGGTGGTTGTGATATGTGCAAACGTGGCCTCTTCACACTTGTAGTTGCGATGGGTTGGTGGTATCTCTGGCCGGAGACATCCTCTCAAGGTACCTATTCGGTGCTCTCTTACTTAAACTTAAATATTTCTGTTCCTGAATTTTTCTAGTGTTGATAAGAGGGGTTGGCTGAAGTGTTATGGGGGTAAGTATGCTGATTAATGCATAAGACTTGACCACCCTACTTTTTGGAATGAATTTTGCCTAGACCCCGGTAATTTTTGGCAGCTAATTAGAGCAAGGCAGTTGTAGTATTGTGGTGGGTTGAATCTATCTATGCTCAATGAGCATTTTTCCATTTGTTATGATCATCATGAAGCTAGAATGTGGTTGGTTTGAACGACTGCTTCATCTGCCACCTACCAACTTCCTGTTTTCCTATTTTTCTTCCCTCTTTCAACCACGGTTATTTTTCCCAATTTGACAGGAGAGCTAAATGAAGGCTCTCAAGATGGAACCTTGAGCCATAAAAGTAGTATCTGCTTTGATAGAGAATATGGTGGAATGGAACGCCTGGCTGTTTGGCTTTGTGGACAAAAATTAAGTGATGGAACTAACATATATTCAGAATTCCCACATTGAAGTTGCAGCATATAAGTAGCATTTTGTCAACTCTTTTATTTATTTTTTGTTTTTTCACAAGTATTTGGCCAACTTACAGTTTATTTTCTGTTTCATTTTTGCTTAGTCACATAATATTTCGGCTTTTTAGTTCCTCACAGCCTTCCTTTTCAGTGAATAGGTCATTTGTGAATCCTCTCACCCACCTGGTAAGATATATTACGCAAAGCAAAGGAGTCTCTGCAACCCACGGGGCAGACATTCAAATAAAGCTAGAGTTTATTCAATTTATTTGGGGGTGAAACAGTCAATTGGAGTATTAACAAATAAATTAAAGCATAAATGAGACATAATAATCTTCGAAGACTTTCGTTGCCTCCACAAGGCTATTATTGATTCACAGGTACAAGCTTTACAAAAAAGGAAGGAAAAATGATTTGAATTTCTAGATTCTCTATTCCTAGCCATTATCATATAACAAGGGAATCATGATCCCAAAAATCAAAACAAATCGCCAAGAGGAATGTTCCTCTTCAACGTGCTTAATTTGCAATCCATTATAATTCGATCTCAACAATGTGAACTTTCTGGTCCTCCTCCTCCTTAGGCATGCCATCCATGTAGAAGGTCACCAACCCAGACTCTGAATCATATACAACATCAACCATTTTTGAGCCTATTGTGCATTTTCTTGGCTTGGCCGATGAGTAGGCACCAAACCTGCCACACCCTTTAACCTCAATGGAAACTATTGCTACAACTTCTGTGCTCAAGTTCTCAACCTTATGTGCAGCTACACCATTTCCTTCTCCTTTGCATTTGGCACCACCCTTGACTTCATATTTGAGCCCTTCAATTGCACCACCGGCATTGAACATGTCAATGAGCCCCAACGGAGCAAAGCTGAACCCGGGGGCTAAGACCTTGATGGGTGTAACTGTAAATATGTCGTGCTCTAGGACCTTGAGGGTTACGGGCTTGGCAGCATTGTAAGGAAGAGTGACAAGCTCACTACTTCGGTGGCAATAGGAAGCACAATCCCCATTCCATTCAGGATCCATAGCAACATCAGAGATGAGATGGACATCGCGGCCCTTGATGAAACCTGTTATAGCTTCAGATTGTGTCTGGTGAAATGTGTTCTTCCTTTCACTGCTGTTCCAGGCTGCACCTTGGCAATTGTAGACACCAAGAACTCCAGTGTACTTGTTCATGTTCCATATCTTCAGCAAACTAAAACCAAACAATTTTTGGTTACAAAATGTTTGTGTTTCACAAATATCTAAACTACATTATTAAATTAGGCCCAATTCAATTACTCTTTTTAATGTGTATATATATATATATACATATATATATAAGTGCTCACCTAACACCATCACGGGCCGGGTCGGAGAATAGGCAATCCTTGGTAGGCCGACCAGGCAATTTAGGTCGGAGAATAGAACCATCTGGTAAAACAAGCTTCTTTAAGATATCAAAGTTGTGGTTCCCAGGTTTGTCACTGTTCAAAAGTGGGACTCGACAATATTAGCCAATTGAGATGATCAAATAAGCAACAAAACAAAAATTGATCATAAATATTCTTACAATGTAAGTACTATTTATTTTGAGACTGGATAAAAAGTGATTAGGTGGTCAAGATTTCTCACCTGACATAAATGGGCCCACCACTTATGGCCCTGGCTGATGCATGGTACTCCGCGGCAGGATGAACAGAGTGGAACATATCCCAATCAGGCAGCATGAATTCACCCAGGAACACACTGTTGTATGCAACTGCTGCTACGTGGATGGTGTGTGATGCAGGATCACGTGGATAGAAATCATCCGAAGCTCTCACCACAGCCGTTTGTTGAGAGCTGTATCACAACATTCAGTAGGGCACCACACATTACAACACTTCAGTTCCAAAAACAAAAATTAAATAATCCTAAAAAACAACTTAGTGTAAATTAAAAATATATATATATAGAAATGTACCAGTAAAGTGCATCAGTATTGTGGCTCATGCAATCAATGCATCCATTATCAGGAAAATTCTTAGCAACAGAAGCATCAAGTGCCTGATGATAGAGCCTGGTCAACTCAACCCTACCACCCAACCCATCCCCAAGTGCCTCCAATATATTCTGCACGTCCACCTTAACACCATCTACACCCGCAGAGGCCAAGTTCTCATGAAGCTCATTATAGAACTTGTGCACATTCTTGGGGTTCACCAGCCCCACACCCCATTTCATCATCTCTTCCTCTGTCTTCCATCTGGGCTCATTCTCCATTATCCCTTTCGTCACCGTCGGATACTTGATCAACGCCCCATAATCCTCCACCCCTGGCCTGACCCCACCCCAGTACCCAACCAGCGCATGCCACGCGTACACGTACTTCAACCCATGTTTCTCCTTCACGATCTTCACTATGTTTTCAATCCCCACCGTCGGATCGTCCTTCTTTTGAAACTTAGCGTTTTCCTTTATCCCAATCAACCTATCCAATGATTGTTCTGGGTCCCGATCATAAGATTGCCACCCATCGTCGATGATCACAAATTTCGGATGGGTCCCACCAGCGCCGAGGCTCTCGATTCCGGCCTCTACCCCTTCCTGGGTTACTTCCCGGTAAAACGCGTCCCATGTGCACCACCCGAAATAGTCAACGAATCCGGGTAATTGCTTCTCGTGGCGTTGACGAAACGTCTTGAGGTGCAATTTAACGGCTCCGATAGCATCACCGACGGTCCTGAACGGGTCCGTACCAGTACTGACGAACACGGAATGAGTTAAATGCGACGACGTCGTATCGGGATCGCCACTCTCCAGACAAAGCTCGAGCTCGTCTTGCGGATTACCTTGAAGGCAAGCTCGAAACGGTCCATCAATCAGAGGGAGGAAAACGGTGTAAACAATCTGATTGTTTTCGTTACCGCCGTCTGATTCGAGGTGAGACCCATCTTTGGTTTCCATCATCAAAAACTGAGTCTCCAAAGGTATGTCACGCCCTTGATCGCCCATTGCCTGAGATAACCACCATAACTTGAACCTAAAGCAGGCGAAGAACCGGACGTCGCGTAACGTCCCGAGCGACACCACGTGACTGCTTTTCTCTCCGTCGAAAGACGCGCCGAGAAACACACCCTCCACCGGAACGGAGGTCGAACCGGACGTGGCTATCACATTGTCCGGTACGTTGGCGAGGATCGTCCGATCCTTCATGATCAGCTTCCTGTCAGCAATGCGTACCGCCGGCGTGATCGTCATGATCTCTCTTTCTCTCTCTAACTTTATCTCTCTTTCAATGTAGACTGACTGATTAAACTTGGAGGATAGAGAAATACGAGTATTAAAATTAGCTAATGGTTTCTTAATCGTCCGCTTTGTTATGCGAATTGGGTTCGTGAATGGGATTAATTGAGGCGGCAAATTTAAATTTATAGGGGTGATCCGAGAACTACTGTGGGTTGAAAGAGCCACCATTGCTAAAAAAAAAATTGGTGACTCAATCGGTTTCTTCTATATCTATATCTCGTTGTCTCTGCGAGCAATATTGGGATTTACAATTATCAGACGCTCCTAAATGTCAAACCCTTAGTTTGGTCGTTGGATCTGGCGGCGGATAGCATTGCCACGTCTGATCCACGTTTTACCACATCCGGACGCTTCTACACTCAACTAAACATCCGGGCGTGGACAATCAAACCCAAAAAAAAAAAAAATAGTAATCGTTATTTTTTTGACCAAAGTTCTCGTAACAGAAAACAGAAAAACTTAAGCATCATTGGAGGGGATAGAGTGGATGTGCCACCTGTTCACTAAGGTCCAATTTTTGTATACGGCAATAATTAAAGTGTTGATCTGTTTCCACGTCACCGTGCGCTGGCTTGGACCAATGAGAACATTGGGCACTCACGCCACTTGGGTGCTGACGTGTTTCTTCTGAGATCATAACACTTTTTTTATTTGGAAGATGCGTAGATCATGACAATCAGCTTAAGAACTCAATTATGTGATGCGCACATTAAAATAAAAAATATATCCAAATACATATATTATTTTAGTGCAGCTAAGCATTGCATTTTTTATTTATTACTGATCATATTAGCGGTAAATATATCTTGGCGTTCACGAAACTAGTTGGACAACGGACCCACCAATCTCAATGATTGCTTATATACAAGGAATTTGCGTAGGGCTCACTTGGTGTTTAATTTCCTAAATTAAGGGATTAAGATGGCCCTAAAACTAACTACACAACTTGAAGGGAGTAGTGATTCAATCACCCTTGCCATCTTTTCCCTGTGCCTCCATTTTTATTTTTATTTTCTTCGGACACAGAGAAATATTCATTGATTAAAATTTGAGATTTTAATTAGTTAGAACCTCCACATAATAATACTAAGGAGATTCACAATGCTTTCATCGATAATAAAATGAACTTTTATTACAAACTTAATCAAAAAAAAAAGTTGTGAAATTCAATAAATTTGATAGAGACAGATTAAAATATTCAAAATAATTGCAAAAACACGAAAAGGAGAAAACAAATATCCAGTTTTGAAGATTGTTGGGTAGTATGCTGCAACAATTGGATGGTTGAAGGAGATTTCGGTCAATTTAAAAAAAAAAAAAAAAAATTTAATATGTCAAAATTTAAAAATAGAAAGAGTTTTTAAGTAATTTGACATTAGAAACAACACGTAGTGCAATATATTGATTCAAATTTTTATTTAACAAATTTAAATAAAAATCAACTCATAAAAAATACAAGATATGGATGATGGGGTACATGCCTCTTGACCTATAATATTATTAAATTAAAAATATGCAGTATTACATTTATATTATTATTAATGTAACAGTAACATGGTGTCTAGCCATAATTAATTGCTTGCACGAAAAAGTAAACAAAAGCATGCTTAGAAGGACGTGGACGACAATAATGGAATCTTTTCCAGTTTTTACGGTGCGACATATGATAAATGAGAAACGTGTGCTGTAAACTAAATTTCTATTTCTCTACACAGATCCCTATGATGTGAAGCGTGTTGTATTTGTCTCGTCCCATAAACGATACCACCATCAGACGTTTTTTATTGCACAAGTCACGTGCTTTCGGCCGTATGATTCGCAAAAGACCACACAATCTGTGATAAAGACTGGTGAAGAAGCACAGACCAACGTGGATATTTTGAAACGAATAAGACTGGTGGTCGAGTTTTTTTTTCTTTTTTCTTCGTGTTTTTCAGGGTTGAAGCAAATTCACACGCTCTCTCTCCACATCAAGAGGTGGCAAGTAGGGTTGACCAGTCATATTGTTGTTGTATGGTCGTAGTAGATCTGTTTAATAATGGTTTCAAATATTTTAATAGCCTATTAGTTATTTAAATATAATTTGAGATAATAGAAAAAAAAATTTATAAAAATAAGAATAATTTGGACAATGCCATAATCTATTAAAATAACAAAAATGGTTATACTAACTTTATTAAAATAAATTCCGAATTAATCAAGTTCACCTGACACGCGACATAATTAATTAAACAAGTTTAATCGAATTAAACACGTTGTGTTTTAAAATACAAACATGACATTTTGATTAAACAGGTTAATATAATTATGAGTAAAGTACACAGACACCCCCTGAGGTTTGGGGTAAGGACAAGCAGATGAAAGTTTGGCTATTTTTGGACAATCACACCCCCTTGTTAAATTTGTCATCCAAACAAGGCCTTAAAACATGTGAAAAGTCCATTTTACCCTTTTCTATTTTATTAATTTAAATTATAAAATTTTAAAATACTTAACGGACAAAATTACCCTTATATATATATATATATATACCCCCACACAACAGTGACCACCAGCACCAACAATAGATCCACTGATCGTCAATCTATTCAAAACGACGCCATTGGGAGTCGATGACGGAGATTCTCCCGGAGCTGAAGAGAATGACGGAGGCACGGCAATACTGGAGGGAGACGAAGCAGGAGCGTCGGAGGTTGGGAGAGCAGGCGGAGAAGCAATCAAAGAGGTCGGGGCAGTACTGCCTGCGGCGGAGAAGACGACAGCGAGGACGACAAGCCGAAGCGCCACACCCGACCATTCGGTCTTGAATTAGTTCAGAGGTCCCGTTATTGATCAGGTGATAGATGTTGGGCGTCGAGGTCTTGAATTGGTACCCAAATCAAAACCCAATTGATGAAATCAGAAGAACAACTGGGTTGTTGGTGAGAGCAGGAGCAAAATTTTCAATTGATTCAGAGGTTTGATTGGGGTGGGATTGAGATTGATATTCACATCATCAAAACCCATCTTTCCAACCAGCCTATACTGGTGGGATTAAGATTGAGCCGCACCTTGTCGGCTCCCTTCGCCGGAACCTTTTATGCATAATGAAGAGCATGGACTGAACCGGTAAAATACTGCCCGGCGATGGCTTCACGGAGAGCATGGATTGAATATACCGGCGGTGAAGCTAGACTGACCGGCGAGGAGCGGGCCACGACTGTCGGCAGAGCTCTCTGCCATGGAAAAGCCGGAGCTCTGTGGAAGATCATGCGTAGGCGAGGAGTGGGCCACGGCCGTCGGCGGAGCTCTCCGCCATGGACTCGTCGAAGCTCTGTACAAGAATCATACGCCGGCGAGGAGCAGGCCACAAATTATTATGTGTATATACAGATTAGAGTCAAAACCATTATGTGTATAAGCTATATTTTGGCACCATAACTTCTCCAAATTCAATCCACAAGTCTGAAACTGCTCCGTCGGTCGGCGACACACAAGTCTGAAACTGCTCAAAACCCATCATCATGAAGCCAACGTCAAATTCAGATTATTATGTGTATACTCAAAACCATTAGAATCATCGGCAATTCCGGGAAAATTATTTAACAATTTGAATGCGAAATCAGAACCATTATTAGTAAAGAATGATATGGGCATCAAATCAATACCCATTATAAAGCAAAACTCTGTTTTTCTTCATTATTTATTTGAAATTCTTTCTTCTATAATTTAATTTTGCAATAGACAAAAAAAATAAGTTGATATATATTGGTTTATAATTGAGACCAGACCAATAATATATATACTCCGTATATATACACACACATTTTGGGTGTAATCCGAGAATGAATTATTCCAGAAGATTTACATATATACCAAAAAGGAAAGAAAGAAAATTAAAAAAGAAAAAATAAATAACAAATTATATTTGCTAATGAGAAATTTTAAAGATGGAAACAATTTTATTGACTATTAGTTTCAATGTGTAAAAATAAAAAATAATAATAAAAAAAAAGGATATGATAAATTTCGTTTAAAGAAAAAATAGAAAATTCTCTTTACTTTCTAATATATATTACTTATGATCATATTTTAGCAACCACCGAACAAACTGGGCACAAATTCTCATCCCGAATCAACTCATCGGTCGGAGACACACAAGTCTGAAACTGCTCCGCTGAAAAAAGCTATATTTTGGCACCATAACTCCTCCAAATTCAATCCACAATGGTCCCTCTTCTCCCCATAAGCGCACCAATCTGTCCCACCACCGCAACCCTTTCAAAAACATTAACCAGAGCCTCCTGAGATTGTGATACATAGCACTCCTCTTCTTGTGTGATCTTCTTGTAAATAGCTGGATAGCCGATGATGTTTACACGCTCAAGGCAACGGGTTATCATAACTTCGACTCTAATTTTGGCTCTAATTTCGCATTCAAATTGTTTATTATTTTCCCGGAATTGCCGATGACTCTAATCATACGTCGGCGGGTTCCTTTCCGTTGATTATATGTGTATATACAGATTATTGAGAGATAAATATATATATATATATATATAGGTTAAAAATGTAATTTCAACATTCAATTTGGTCAATATAAAAGTCAAAGGGCAGAAATGTCAACTCATTACCATTGGGGTGTCTTTGGTTATTATATCAAACTTGAGGGGGTGTGTTTGTCCCAAAATAGGCTAAGTTTCATCTGGCTGTCCTTATCCCAAACCTCAGGGGGTGTCAGTGTACTTTACCCTATAATTATAACACGAACACAATTAAGATAAAATCAATCTTATTAATTTGTCATGATTAAATCGTGTCAAGGAAGCGTGTCAATTTTGCCACCTTTATTATTTTGTATTTACAATCAATTCATCTCTCATTTGCGCATTTATTTACTTACAGTTTTGTCTTTTCTCATTTAATCTTATGATATATCATCTAATTCAACCCATTAGCATATTTTCACCTTGCAGCCCAATTGGATTTAGCTTTTGTTAGTTAAATTTACAAAACATCTTTGGTACGATGGTTGAACCTAGGATTGCAACTTGGGCTAGCTCAACCTAGCTCCGTCTCAATTTAACTTCAACCCGAATTGGGTTGGGTTCAAGGGCGGAGCCAGGATTTTGAGGTTGGGGGGGCCAACATTATAAACAATATTACCTAGCTAGAACTTTGGAAAAAATATATATATTACGTAGGCAAAAATATATTACTATTTATTATATTCATACAAAAATATATATATTTAAACTTTTTTCAATTTATTTAAATAAAAAAAA